GAGGCAGCTCGCGAAGACATTCTACCTCTTCGGCTGTACGCTGTGACAGCTCCGTGTCCGATTCGATATCTAGCCGTATCTCGAGATAAGGGGCGCCAATAAGGCTTAACATCGGCACAAGGCGATCCTGGAAAAGACATGCTCGTCATCATCCCGAACTTCATTCATAAGGATGGGACTTACGAATAACCATACTTTCAGGTCATGGGGCTCTGCTATCACGCTGAGCTCGAGAACGCGAAGCCTCGGTACGCAACGCTCGAGCTCCCCGAGAGAGAGACAATCCTTGTTCGTATCCATATACATGGACAACCTGACGGGCGATGTCCGTCGGAGCAATTCCAGGTACTTGTATGATGATTTCTGTGACACAGTTTCCCTGACAGTTAAACTGTGAACCTGACAATTGTTTGGCCAATCTGCGAGTTCACTAAGATGAAGGGCGCATAAATGGTCCAGAGCAGGCCAACAGTCCGTCGCATCGGGGACAAAGCTGCATATTGAAGTTGTGAACTCCCTCAAGTTGGGGAAAACGCGCACCAAGGTGGAGACATGAGCGCCCTTGCAGTTAGACAGCCGAAGGGTCTTGAGGGAAGGATGTGACGGTAGGGACTGTGTGCAAGACGATTTCTCCGGCCATGGCTCCGAAAAACGGTCCAAAACGCCCTTCATCTCGAGTGTCTGCAAGTTGTCCATCGCCACAATGTCCTCCAGCACGTCCTCCACCTGACACCAATCTATGTTGTGGAGGACGAGGGTACGGAGTCGGCCCGCCATCTTGGACCCGCGGAAGAATCCCAGCCGGCTCCACCCCATATACTGAAAGTCCTGAAACTCCAGCGTATGGAGACCGTCCATAGCTGCGATCGCCACGCAACCTGGCAATTCGATGTAGTCGGAAAGCGCCTCAAGCTTGAGCGTCCGCAAGGTAGTGCGAGCACCCTGTAATATGTTTGTCACAAGCGTGAGCACGCGCGAAACCTCATATGAGCTGCCCTTAGGCCGCCCATACCGCCCAAAGATGTCTTTGCCGATACTGCCTTTCTTGATCTCTAGCGTGCGCACACACCCCAGGCGGTTAGGGACGTCGGCCAGCATGTACGGGCAAGCACGAAGAACGTCCCTGGGGCTTTCGAGCGTCACGGAGGCGAGGACCCTGCGCATCGCAATGTGGTAGAGCCCTCTTGCGGTATAGGACAGCGCCAATGCGTCCTTTTGCGGGAGGGTAGATACGATGGCGAACAATACATCCGTGTTGAGCTCTGCAAGGGACCGGCCTGGAACAGCTGCCTAATGTCGCTCGGTGTTATTGCTCTTTGAGAAGAGGAAAAACTGTACACACTTTGCGATTCTGCTCCAAGACAGGCGTCGGTGGGGAGATCACGCGCCGAGTCGGTATCATCGTGGAAAAGCGAGTTGGTTCATGCAGGGTTCTGCGCTCGCTGTTTATGGCCCTGGCAGGCCTACGCCACAACAAGACAGAGAACGCCACATCCAAGCGTACGATGTGTCACCAAGCATTTGCAGTAATTAGGAGCACGCGGAACAATTGTCCTCCTCTTGCGCCACAGGGGATTGGCATGGCTGTATCTCCGTCGGCTTGGAGAACATTATACCGTGATGTGGCGCCTTACTGTACAGGCCGGACAGTCGAGGCTGGTTTTCGCCTGCGCCACCCAGTCTTGTGCTTTGATGGTCCAGGCTGGACACAATGCAAACATACTTCTTTGGGGCCGTGGACGTGGCGGTCCAGCAGCGCCGAAGGCTGTTGCAGCGGATTCCATATCGTTAGGCCTGCCAGCGCTGTCGTGCCTCGTGTGGTAGCAGAGAAATATTCGCTCGGCTATCCATAATTGGCCCCCTCGACACTTCCCGGGTTTCTTTCAAGAGAGTCCAGACTCCAGAATTGTATTGCATGATTATGATGCGACATTACTCTAGGCGTTGCAGTCGCTGTAACTAGGTGCAGTAGCATTATTCACTATCAAGACTGATTCGGAGACAACATTTGAATTTGTCTCATCTTGCCTGGTCAGGACGCGGATGAGCGGCACCACGGACGATGTCGGTGGGCGTGAACACTACACCTGCCATATGCGGACGCCCCGATCGTCCCGAGCTCGCTGTCCTCCCATAGCCGCTCGCTGCCGCACACGCCCACCACCACCTCAGTCCGCCCCCGGCCGCAGCTCACTCTTGCCCCCCATGGGCGCGTCTCAGTCCTCGCCCCAACCCCCCGACGAAAAGGTCTTCGCCGCGGAGACCCCCATCCAGTTCTCGCAGGACGTCGTGAACCAGCTGTCCGACCACCTTGCCTCGCCCGACCCGCCGCCGGAGCGCCAGTCCTCCATCGACGCGCACGTCCGCTCGCGCATCCACGCCGAGCTCGCGCGCCTCCGCGACGAGGAGGCGCAGGTCAAGGCGGAGATCGAGCGTGCGCTGGAGAAGGAGAACCTCGACCGCGAGCGCGAGATGGCCGGCGCGGCGAGCGCGGAGGAGGACGGCGCGGCGGCAGGCAGCGTGAAGAGCAGCGCGGCGCTGATGGGCGACCTGGAGGAGCTGCGGCAGAAAGTGGAGCGGCATCATGCGCGGCATGAGGAGCAGGACTACTCGACGGTGCAGGCCAAGGGAGATGCAGTCGTCTCGTGCTACAAGTGAGTTCCCTCTTTCATCCAGTGATTGCCTGTTCTAAGCCGGTCCGCTGCGCATAGAAACCACCCGACGACGCCTCTTGAGTGCTGGCGGGAAGTCAGCGAGTTTAAAGCTTCGGTCTCACAGATCGAGGAGGTAAGTCGTACCGACCGCTGTGCTATTCGCTCCAAACTCATCTGTCCTCAGCAATACGTGCATTCATTGCGGTAGCCGGACATATGCTATAGATCACTAGAGCGCCCATGCTACACCTACAACACTGTGAATACATTTCGCTGCCACTACTACACTGAAGATGATGTCATTAGTACAAAGTCAAAACCGTCCATGTTCGTAAGTAATCAGTGTCCGTCAGCAAGAAAAACGTTCGTCATCGTCATCATCATAAATACCATGAATAAATGCTGCAGGTCGCGCTACCGCGGTGCAGGTCCTTCCTCGCCGCCGTACGCATACCCCACCGCCTCCTCGGGGTCGTCCGAGTATACAGAAGCCATGCTCATTTGCGACAGCCGGCTCGCCTCTGGGTCGTTATTCGGGCGGCTGCGGTGCAGCGGGAGATAATTGCCCAGCCACGAGCGACGCGGGTCCATGTGCCCCAGCGCGGCCATTATCAGGCTCGTCGAGACGCGCGTCTGGCGCTCCTCGCCGCTCGCAGTCGAGTACTCAGACATCGCACTCGTAGTGGACAGCCGCTCCCGCCGCATTTTCGGGCTCGCGAGAGGCCGCTTAAGGAAGGGCTGCACGGGCGACGATGTGTTTGAGCCTGCGGGTGAGCGCGGGGTTGGACTCTCGAGCTGGGGGGTAGTCACCAGGAGCGGTGCCCGCTCGATGCGGGAGTTGGCCTTACCCAGAGGACTAGGGCGCACGGGCCTGTGCTGTGTTGACCCTGGTCGCTGGGGTGATACTGTCGCAAGGCATATGACACAGATATCCTCCAGCTGAGTGAGGAGACACGCACCTTGCCTGGGCTTTTGTTTCTCCTGTATGGGCGACGGGCTCGACGATGGCGCCGGGGGCACAAATTTCACTCGTCTCTTTTCATGGCGTGAGGAACGATGCGTCGAGGGGAATTGAGTGTACGAGCCGGAGAGCGTATTCCTGCGCGTGTTCTCCTTGACTTGGAGAGTCGCGAGCTAGCCGAGTATGAGCAGACCATAACACAGCCACAACAGCACAAGATGGCGTACAATTTCTCTCCGGTCCTTCTCCCTCTTCCGCTGGATGCATCGGCCCCACCACACCCAGATGACAACTACAGCTACAGCCAAGAAGACGCCGCCGGCAGCGCCTCCTGCGATGGCCGCGACCGGGACGGTTGATTTTGGGTGGCTGAGCGTAGTAGTCGTCGGCAGCGGCGTGCCTTGGTAGATTGTTGTCGTCAGGACCTGCTCGTCCGAGGCCGAGGGGTAGATGGTCGTGAGTACAGTCTGGGCGTAAGAGACGGAACTGGTTGGACCGAGCTGAGAAGAGCCCTGCGTCAAATCCGACAGAGTGGCGCTCATTCGAGAGGGGAGACGATGCGCAGACAGCGGACGCTGGGCACGGCGGGTAGAATACAGAGGAGAAGCTGTGAAAGGGGGGGAAGCCGAAATATCTCCATAGCTGGACGGGACGATGGCCCGCCACAGTCGGAGGCCTGCCTCGTGCTCCCTTGTACTCACGCTGACACCTTCACCCTATTCCCAGCCCACCAGCTGCGGACGTTCTCGCACAGCACGACAATTACATAGAATAGACAATAGCATCATCAAGTACTATAGTACAGCCTTACAACTCCAGAAACTCATGCAGCAGCCTCAGTCTCCAGCTGAGCCAGAGCAGCCTCATTCACCGCCTCTGCTTCTGCCATCATCCTCTCCTCCAGCGTCGCTACACGCACCTGCGCATCCCGCCGCTCCGACTCCAGCTCCGCATAACGCTCCTGGAGAATCTTCTCTCGTCTCTCGAGCTTCTCAACCTCTTCCCGAAGCGCAGAAACTCGTGCGGGGCCGGTGGCGCTCTCGTTTGTGTGGAGCTGTGCGAAGGTCTCGTAGCCCACCTTCACCTTCTGCATCTCGTTGAAGGCCTCCGCAATGCGCTTCGTCAGGGCACCCGTGCGCGCCTGGTAGCCCCCGAGTACAATGTTGAGCTTCTTCTCGGTCTTGGCCGCCTTGTTCGCCTCCTTCGCCATGTTCTGTCGGCACTCTTCGAGCACCGCGCTGTACCCGGCAATGCGCGCGTCCGGCGAGAGCTTTTCGGGCTCGACCCAGGTCTTGGAGCTTGCGTCGAACACCAGCTGTTGCCGAACGTGCGTCCACGACAACGTCTCGTCCGCCTCCTCGAGCCCCGAAAGCGCAGCGATGCCCTGCTTCATCTGCTCCTCGTTTGCGTTGGGGTAGCCGAGAGCGGTGGCAAGTTCGTCGTGAATAGCGGATTTCGCCGCAGCAACGACATCATCAGGCGGTAGCTGGTAGGACGATGGCGTGCTGCCGGGATGCACTGTGCCAGGGATAGGGTGGGCGAGGGAATCGTGCAGTAATAGACTCGCCAGTTCTTCGTGAATCAGGTTCTCCGCGGGCGCAAACTCCGTCGGCGTGGCTTCGTCGAGTGATAAGTCGCGCAACAGACGCTCAACATCCACGTTCGGGGGACGGGGGAGCCCTCGCTGCACGACTTGCGACCGCCTAGCCAGGGCCTTCTGCTGCTCCTCTTCTCGCTGGCGTCTAAGCCGTGCATCGCGCTCGCCAGCGTCTTCCCCATCGACTTCCGGCCCCTCAGCCTGCTCTTCCGACTCCTCGTCTTCAGGCACGAGCAGCTCGAAGTTGTTCTCTGGCTTCGGAAGACTCATGAAGCCCGCTTTGAGTGCCCTCTTCGCAGAGGTCGTGCGCATGCGCAGTTCTCGTGGGGTGTCACCCACAGACGAGAAGCGATCACTTGTGTTGATGCTGAGCGTGTCGTGCATGGGTGTGCGCATGAGAGCTGTGCCTGGCGTGACCTGGACATCCTGTGGTGTCGCTGAGGGATCAGCACTTCCACCATGCAAGGGAGTTGCTAGCGGGTTCGGAGTAAACGCGACTTGGTGTCTCGGAGTTGCCCCCCCAAAGCCTGTATCACCTGTAGGATCAGAATGAAGAGGAGTGTTCTCTTCTCCTAGCAAAGGTGTTTGAGCCATGGTCATGTTGCGTAAATTTCGAGCCTCCGACAACACATTGTCATCTGTAAGATGAGGCGTCACTGAGTAAATAAGTCATGGGATTTCAAGCAAGGTACGTACGTTGGGGCGCAGTGCGAGGCGTCCGTGCCATTCTCGCCTTCTCTAAACCCTCATAGTCGCTTAGTAGCCGGTTGCTCGCCTCGCTGCCTCCAGCAACCAGTGCCTTTGCGTTCTCACTTGCCTGGCCAATCTTGACAATATCCTCCAGCTCCGCCTCACCGACTTGCGCCGCGGGAAGCATCAGCTTGCGCCGGCGTCCAATAGACTCCGCCTCCTTGAGTTTCTGAATCTGGGCATCGCGTGCGGCGACGAATTTTGTCTGATGTGGCGCATTGCCGCCCTCCTTCTCGTTTGTTTTGCGCTGGCGTTTTCTACGTTCAGCTTCTTCCTCATCTGGCTTGCGCTTGTTTTCGAGGCGACGGAGACTTTGCCCAACGGGAGCAGTGGTTGCACGAGCTTGTTCGTCAGACGTATCGTAGAATCCAGCCGAAGGCTTCTTCTCGAACGGAATGTCCGCATTGTACTACACAAGGATTATGAACCATGAGCATTGAGGTCTCCGCCAAGAGAGGAGCAACAACTCACATCCATTCCCTTCTTCTTAGTCTTGTGCCGCATACTGTCCGATGGTGAGCAGCAGCAACATGTCATATAGTTAACACACTTACATGATACCTGCCGCCTTCAACTCCCGCTTCTTCTGCAGCACAGCCAAGCGTCTTGCCTCCTCAAGTTGACGTTCACGGGCCTTTCGCTTCGCCTTCTTACCTTGCGTATTTGCAAGACGAGCGCGAGCCTCAGACAACATCTCCTTCTCTGCATCTCGGGTTAATCGTCCGCCTCTGTGACGCTGGACAAGTGCACGCACCATCTTCGTCCATATCAATAGGGTCAGGTCGCGCGGGCTTCGTCTCCGGGTCAGGGTCGATCTCTCCAGGCCTGAGCCTCCGGACATCGTCTGCGCTCGGCCCCGCCTCACCACCAGGCCCTGCGAGGCCCAGCTCCTCGCTCTCCTTCGCCTCTGCCTCATCAAGCAGCTTTTGGTACCGCTCGAGACATTGCGTAGCAGTACGGCCAACAATGGGTGCGATGGTCCGCCATTGCGTTGGCATGAGCTTCGCGAGGTGGAGCAGCTTCTCGTCCTCGGTCTATAGAACGGTCCACGTTAGGCCCTTGGACACCTTACCAGTTTGTAGCTACCACAGACCTTGGACCATTCGGTCTTTTTGATCGAGGGGTCCAGCCACTCGTACCAACGCGCCTTGCATTGCTTGGGGGTCTTCCGCACCAACAGAGACGAGATACGTGCCCTGCATAGAACATGTAGTCGGGCCACAATGCAAGTAAGGACGCAGACTTACCATTGGTTCTTCCCGTATTTCGCAATGGCTGCCTTCAGCACTTCATCTTCCGTGTTCTAGTCGCGACATGATTAAGAGCGGACAGGCCCACGACACGGACGTACTCACTTTCCACACGCCTGTGCACATGAGGATAAAGCATGTTAGCGAAGCGCAAAGCATGTGTGCTGGACTCATACATACCTCCTTTGATGATAATGCGGACCATGGCGGCGAGGATGAGCCCTTGCAGGAATGGTGTCAGTGAGGGTGGTTGAGTGTAAGTGGACTGGGTCAGAGTTACACAGTGGGACAGATTTGGAAGTTTGAAGCGGAGATAGATTTGAATGCCCATTTGGGAAAGCCACATGGCTAGCGGGAGTCTGGCATCACTCCCAAATCTCGATCAAGGATCGAACCTCGGCTTTAGCGTCTCGGGATCAACAACAGTCTACAACATTTAGCGGAGCTTCGTGTCACAGCAGCAGACTTGTGGGAGATACGATTGCATTACCCCGTTGCTTACTCAACGTCCTGCTTTTTTTGAGCATTGAACTCTCTTAGGCATCAATTGAATCGAGCAACAGCCGCATTGAAACCCCCGAGCGTCTTAAAACATGTCTCCTCCGTTGGAACTTGAGGTTTTGAGCGAGCTTGCATGATAGATCTGATTTGATTAGATAATGGTCGTACGTAGGAGGTAGCCTATGTCCACACGCGTTTGTATTCCTACCACCACGATGCTGCCATTAAAATTTCTCCTCGCCACCTGTCGCCCGTTTATTTTGAACATCATCATCCATATGATTCCTTTTGCCGCTGCATACAATTTGTGACCCTAGTACCACAATAATCTCCGGAACAACTGGGGGTGCAAACGCTGATCCTGGGGACTTCCCTAGAACACCGACTCATACAATCCACAGACCCGTACACCGCGGGCTTCTGCGCTGTGTTCGCATCTATGTCAAACACATTTTGTACACCCGGATCCGACATGCGCTCTATGCTCTCGATTCGGTACGTATTCAACAATCACTCTAGACGTCAACATCAGACAAAAAGCGCGAACACAGTTTTGATGCCCTCCGTCCCGCGATGCAAGAACCCACCGGCGTTCTAACTACGATGGTGGTCCGATAGCTCATTGCATCCCATATCGTTTGTGGAGTATGATACTGGGCTGCACCGCACTATGGGGAATCTCAATATGAGCGGAAGGCCGGCCGCAATTTTGCCTTCCCGGCAGACCAACAAGCTCAGGACTCACAGCGCTTGCGAAGCAGCCATCGTGCGACTCGGGCAGCCTATCTTTGTCTTTCCACAGGACGATCGTCGACCACATCCACCACCTATCGGAGTCGTACACTTCATGTTCTCTGCCCCCGTGATTTGTGACCAGGCGCCAATCCTGCCAGAAAACATCTGTGTCTCGACACAGTCGCGTTTTCCGGACAGATACCCACGTACTCAACCAGGACTAAGCGGACACCGCCCAGTCCTCCGCACATCACGGTATGAAGGCGCGCGGCACCTTCTAGCGCGTAGCGTCACAGCGCATTCAGATGTCGTCTTCTCGACTGGCGCAGCACACGCTGTCATGTCCGCGCCTCACAGCTGCAGCGGGAGGGACGCACCGGCGAACATTGTAGTTTTGCGGAGCTTTCTAGGAGCTCGGAACAGTGTGGTCTCTTCTATCTTGCAGAAGCGGTCACATCTGCTTCGTGTGGCGGCATCAGCAGATACCCGCGTTTATGGCTGGGTCAAGGCTGGGTGCTCCAGATCGCGGCGTCATGTAAGGCGGTAAGATAGGGGTCAGGAATGCCCCATGCCTCCATTGGTCTTCGCTATTCCCAAGGGACCCTTTTGCACATCAAGGCCTGCGTGTGAAGGGAATGTTTTATACTAAGATGGGAGACGTAACCACGGACCGAGGGAGTCTGGAGGCCGGAAATTAACAATTGCGGCGCGTCTCCTTCCAACCGTGGAACTGCCGTACCCCAGAGTACATCCGCTGTATGAGTCGTCCCACGAGCAGTGATCCTACACATCCGTAGGATCAACAGATGCCGGACTGAGCCACCACGCACTATTTAATGTCCGCGACCGGGATGGAAAGTCTGACGGAGGCGCAGGGGACGTCATGAGTTTTTTGTCGGGCGGAGAAATAGTGAGGCTCGCTCGCATTATCGGCGCATCTGGGGGATCTTCTCGGGGCATCGGCTGCGGTTTGATTTGCGTTGCAGTTGCGATTTAGTGCGTTGCGACAGAGGGGTGATGATATACACGCGATATACCGTTGAAGTCACATAAGAACTCCGAACAGCGTCATGGCGAGCTGCGTGCACATTGTTTATGGATTGGAAATGGAGGATAAACGACACAAGCGAAAACACCGGTAGCCGCCGGGAGCAGGTCGGGTCCGTCAAAATCGCAGGAACACCGAGATATGCGCGCTAAAATGGCAATTGAGTCCGGGAACCAAAGAATCGCCGCGCCGCCGGGCCACAGAGCCAATCAGCAGGACCGCCAAGAACGCCGGGCGGTTGGTGTGAAACGGAAAGATGCCATCGAGGACTGCAAAGACCGTGGCGCGTCCCGCAGACGTCGACGACGGGGGGCAGGAGACGGATGCGAGCAGCTGTGTCGAAGGCGACAAGCGTCGCAGCGCAAGCCAGAGAGGACGGTGCATGTCAACGCGCATTGCGGGAGAGCGGCATACGGTGGCTGGAACGGGGAAGGCGACGGCGAGAGTTGTGCCAATCACGGCAGGGGGCGCGCTAGGCAATGTTGAGATGGCAGGGGTTGTCTGATGAGAGCGAAGAGTGGCTGGATATCAGCGTGCCCCCGTCAGGTGCAATGGACAGGAGACGCAGACCAAGTCGCCCAGGAGCCGAATTAGCCGGCTGTTGGCCGGATGTGGCTGCTCGCGACCTCCGCCTCGACTTGAAGGCCGCCGGCGTCCCGGCGTTCCTGGCCACTCTTTCGGCACTGGCTAGCCTATAGAAATACCCGACATTCCGGCCGGCGTCCGGCCAGCGCCTCCCTTTACAACTGCCTCAGCCGCTCTCTGCCCTCCATCAGCCCCTTCCTTCTCACCACCATCCTCCTCCGCCATTCAAATACGACACCCCCTCTCCCCTAGTCGCCTTTTTCCCTCCCCCATTGTCTTCCGTCGTCGACCCGTACGCGTAGACACACCCGAGACACCTTCGGGCACAGCGTAGTTTAGCCGCGGCCTCGAGTTGATCACCGTAGTCCCCCCGGCCTTCTACGCGCCATGGAGTCCCCAATGCAGAAACCCGCAACCACGGACGATGTCCCCCCATTTACCGACGAGAAACCCTCTGCGTACGTCTATTTAAAGCTGTTCACCGACGCTAGTTCCATCCTCAACGCGTGTTCTGCTCCGCCAGTTCCAAGGCGCCCGTCGTAAGAGGCGCTAGAGCGTGCACTGTCTGTCGGGCAGCGAAGGTAGGACCAGCCTGGCTCCCTTGCGGCATGACTGTAGTATATATTCATGCCTGCTCAGATGAAATGCGTCGGTGCCGACGACGGCAACAACATCCCTTGTCAACGATGCAAACGCTCTGGCGCAGAGTAAGGCATTTCAATTTATTTCAGCCCCCGCCTCCGTTGATGTTCCCGTTAATTCAGATGTATTTTTGAGAAACATCGCCGCGGTCGTAAGCCCGGCTCAAGGTAAGGCGCACCTTCCCCGACGGTGCGATGATTTAAATTTTCACTAGATTGTCTGAAGCGTCGAAAATGCTTCGACGTCTCGAGAAGGGGCTCAACACGGCAAAACAACAGAAATCCACCGTCGCAGATTCTCTGACCCTCCCGCCGCTCCACAATTCTCGCGGCACTGATGCCCGTTACCCAAACGGGGACAGCTTCGGAGCGTCCAGCTCTAGCTTCTCGGACAACAAGTTGCCGCCGTTGAACCTACAGCAAGAGGCTCACCTTCGATCGGCGCCCGGTTCCGACTCCGAGATGGAGGAAGACGACGATTCCAGCTACACAGATGGAATGTACCCTGCCAGAATGATCAAGCAGAATGCTCGTAACTCAAGTTTCTTCAAGACGATCTTGAACCCCGAGCAGGCGGACACGCCCGTCCCACACTCCGCTGTCTCAGACCGTGCCTACCACTCTCAGTCACCCACATCAGCTCCACCTGGTCAGCGCATACCTCTAACGGACCTGTTTAGGGAGCAGAATGAACTTCAAGATCCTGTTGACGCTGGTCTCATCGACGAGGAGACGGTTTCACAGCTGTGGGACATGTTTTTCATCCGTCTGAACCCCTTTATATGCCTATTCGACCCTGCCCTGCACTCCGTCTCGTATGTGCGCAAGCGCTCCCCGTTCCTCTTCACGGCGCTCATCATGGCCTGCTGCAAATTTTTCAAAACCGAACTCTATGTCGAAGTGCTGCAGCTCGCGCACAAGTTCGCTGTCCGTGCGTTTGCCGAGAACCAGCAGAGCGTCGAGGTCGTGCAGGCCTTTGCATGCATGACCTACTGGAAGGAGCCAGACGACACGCGCACCTGGACTTACATCGGCTACGCCTGCCGGATGTCCGTCGAACTTGGTCTGAACCGTTACGTCGGCAAGCCTCAGGGCGAGACCGAGCTCCAGCTGCGTGAACGCCGGAATCGCGAGCGCACGTACCTCGTGCTGTTCGTGCACGACCGCAGCCTCAGCATGCAGACCGGCAAGCACTGGATGCTCCCCGTGGACGAGCTTGTGCGCCATACGCACACATGGCACGAGGAGGGCGGCGCACACATCCGCCAGGAGGATGTCATCGTCGCAGCGTTCACCGATCTCAGGACGATCGCGGCCGACGTCACGGACGTGTTCAACATGCACCATGGTGGGGGCGGCTTGAGTCATGAGGAGCGCAACTATGAAATGCTCCTGCGCAGCTGCAACCAGAAGCTGAACAACTGGGTCGAGGTGTGGCAGACAGAGATGCGGCGAGGTAAGCGGTTGCTGTATGCGCGCATATATGCAGCGGTCGCTCATGTTTTTACAGCGAAGGGAAACTCGTATCATTTTTCAATGTTGATGTTCTTCCAGCTGCATGTTAGACTATTCCTCAATACCTTCGTTATCAACTCGTCGAGCCCGCAGGTATGTACCCCCAGCTCGACAGTACCAGCAAAGGCTCATAAATCACGCAGGCAAGTGGAGGGGTTAACATACAGGCGCTCAACATGTGCTACACGAGTGCGATGGATAATCTGAAGATCATGGCCGAGGACTTCGCTCAGGTCCAGATGCTTGTTAGTAGTGACAATATCTTGCAGGTCATCGTTCACTCACGACTGATCGCACAGCGCTACGGCCAGGACTCGACGACGGTTATGACAGCTTACTCGGCTGTGGTTTTGATGAAGGTACGTCGCGCCCGTATTGCATCACACCGCTTATTTACGCTATGGATCGTCATAGCTCCTGCGTGGCAACAACCATTTGTTGCGTCTCGTGGACGATGCCGCCAACAAAATCCATTCGATGATCAGTAAGGCTGCGGAAGCGTATCATAACGCTGCACTGTTGTCACCAGCGTCATCATCTGCGGAGTATCACGCCCGCTTCTTACAATCGTTGCTTGCCAACGATGTGTACAAGCAGCAGCAGCAGCAGCAACAGGTAGAGCAGGAGCGCATGAAGCGGGAGTTGCCCTCTTTAAACGTGCATCATATTCCGCAAAATGCCCCCGCTCGTTCAACCCATGGGTATGCTCAATCGCAGGCGTACCCACAAGCATCACAACCGGTTGACTACAACAGTGGCTACTACGTGCAGTCGTCCGTCGCTTCGCAGGCATCTGCAGTATCCTCAGGAGCATCTACCTCGTCGACCATGTCTTCGCCCTACACCCCGACACAGCCCGCTGGGTATTCTCAGGTGCGGGACGGTGACTACGCCATGACCGACGCGTCCGTGCGCCACAGCTCGCTGAGCAACCTGAGCTTATCGGGGATGGCGACGACGTACGCGCAGTACCAGGCGCAGCCGACCTCAGAGCACGATGCGTCATACTGGCGGAAGATGTGGTGCGACCTTGGGATCGATGGCAACGTGGACCCGACGTCGGCGTACGGCGTGTACCAGGCAAACGGCGCTGGTGACAGTGCGTCGGCAGCGGCCTCGCAGGCGTCGTACGGCATGACATACCGCGATACGCACGTCGGCGACCACGGCTACCAGAGCCACCATCCGCAGCCGCAGCCGCAGCATTATCAGTACCCTGTCGTAAACGCGTACCAGAGCGCTGCTTATAGCAGCCGATGACGTCCCCGCATCCCTCACTGATAGCCCTGGTCTCCCATCTTGAACCATGTGCTCCCGTCCTATGTATTTATCCCTCCGCCGCGTCTCCCGCCCTCGTCTGTCCGTCCGCCTGCCTGTCTTGTCGCGCCCCTTGCCCAGGAGTATGCAACCCTTCGTCTACACTACGGCCTGCTGTCTCTCTATTTTTATTTCTGCCTGTCCCTTGTACTATAGCCTGGTGTGATAGTGTAGACGTTCCGGTGTAATGGCTCTTGGGAGATCTTGTCGCATCATGGCTCACAATGCAAGTTCTTCTTGAGATCACATTCCTGCTGTGCATTACTGGTGTCTTCACCTTGAGACTTTCTCCTACTTTATGCGCCGTGAATATTGTATTTCGGACCACATCACGTGCGCTCAAAAGCACATATCCATAGCCAAGTTTCATCATGTAACATTACCGCGTACATTATTACACAAGAACAAATGTCCAACCGTCCGCGTCATGACTCGTCACCAATGTACAAAATGACCACTTGCCGCCCAACAGCTGCAGCGATCCTCGGGACACCGCGCGCGGCTAGGAAATCGAACGCCCGTACATACAACGGGCCATTTGCCATGGAGAACGAAGCGAGCGGCCCGTGGGGATTTTGTATATTGTGGACATGAATGACAGCGCCCTTGGTGGGCGACCTGCTCGAGATGGCGAAGTAGTCTGGGTACGTAGGGCACCATCTATGGGGGATAAGTAGACGAACCAAGGGAAGCATGGGGGGAGGCGTACTTGAATTGGGCACTGCCATCTGGGAAGCTGACCCCAGTGATGTTCGGCTTGCCGCCGTGCAGGTCCGTCAGGTCCCAGATTGAGAACGTAGTTCCGTACGACGCGCCGATGCTGGATACCATGAGGTTGGCATTCGGTGGGGACACAATAGTGGCGTGCTCACATATTGGGTCTGTCCCGCCGCCAGGACACGGAACCGGGCGACTTCGCGCTGATGCCCATGCTCGTGTCCACGAACGCGCGGGGATCGACGAGCTCGACGATGCTCGCGCCGCGCCAGCTCTCGAATGCGTTCTCGTCCGGGTCCTTGCGCCAGTCGGTGAGGAAGATCGAACCGCGGCAGTCGGCGACGAGCAGCTCCTTGCTCGTCGTCGGGTGCGAGGTGACGGAGGTGAGTGGGTAGGGGAAAGGGGAGACGAGCGCAGTCGGTTGCGGGCGGTCGAACTCGCTGGTGAGCTCGGTGTTAGGGTCGGGCGAGCCGAGGGAGGGGATGTCGATGTCCGGCGTGAGGTCCCAGACCATGAGCATTTTATCGTCTGGAGGCGCTGAGCTTGTGTACACCCCAGTGAATCGGAGTACTCACCTGAGACTGTCGCGAGGTAGCGGGCGCTGTCTTCGCCTTGGCCGCCACAGAAACACATGTCGTTCACTTTGCCGTGGTGCCCGCTGAGGCCGCCGCCGAAAGAAAAGACGTACTCCATGGACTTTGCCGATTTTGTGAGCAGGAAGAGGCCGAAGTTCTCCCCTGCTGCTGCGATTCTACGTGTGAATGGGTCATCGACAGGTCGCGCGAGGGTAAATGTCTCTCGGACGTACTCAACGGACCAAGCATCGGACATGGACGGGGATGCGACTTTAGACGACCATGCGAGCGTAGTTATGCGGGTGCCGACGTGGAAGTTCGCGATCAGTTTGGAAGACGTAGGGGTCTGCCTGAGTGAGTGAGTTCAGCACGGGCGAGTGGAGAGAAAAACCACAGCTTACGACTAGAAGGACCTCGACGGAGTGCGCACCGCCGATGGCGACGAGGTCTGCGCCATCTTCGTGGGGGCATGCGCGGACGGCGTAGATGTCTGTGTCGTGAGCGTGTCGGACGTCCATGGGCGCGGCGGGTAGTTTGAAGGTGGCGGCACGCGTCGCGGACGCGCCGCCACCCGCGGGCGTGTTTGTTTGGGCATGTTAGAATCCAAGGCCGTTGGACAACAAGCGCAAACACGGCCTCCTCCTCCTGCCCATGCCAAGCAAGGCGCCGAATCCATTCCTCTTCGTCGGGCTCTCCCTCGCATCGTTTGGCACGTTCTGCTGGCTCGTGAAGTACAGGGCAGCGACACACCCCGCGTCCAAGCAGCCCAGGCACTACGACAGCCCCCTCATCCCCCCGCGCCACGCCGACTAGCCCACACACGCATCACGCGTTCCATGCCTGCTATTCTCGATAAGCTCGCGCACGCCCTCCATTTGCACAACAAGCACCCTGCGGACTCGCACCCCGTAGAGCCCACCACCGATATGAGCGCGTCCGCCGCCCCCACGCCCGTGTTCGACAGCAGCAAGGTCGCCGTCATCTTCGTGCTCGGCGGCCCCGGCGCAGGTACCTTCCCGTCCCCCCCTCCCTGATGCGCGCACCCTGACACCGCCCGCCCGCAGGCAAAGGCACCCAGTGCGCCAACCTCGTGCAGGACTACGGCTTCTGCCATCTCTCCGCGGGCGACCTGCTCCGCGCGGAGCAGAACCGCGAGGGCTCCGAGTACGGCGCGATGATCCGCAACTACATCCGGGAGGGACAGATCGTGCCCATGGAGGTCACGATCAAGCTGCTCGAGAACGCCATGCGCGCCGCGCTCGCGAGCGCGCCCGCCGCGGCGGACGGCTGGGCGGACGGCCGGGGGCGCTTCCTCATCGACGGCTTCCCGCGCAAGATGGACCAGGCGGTCAAGTTTGACGACGAGGTGCGTGTGTGGTGCTGGCGCTGAGACCCTGAGACGGACGGCCGCAGGTGTGCCGCTCGTCGCTGGTGCTGTTCTTCACCACGACGGAGGAGGAGATGCTCAAGCGTTTGCTGGAACGTGGCAAGACCAGTGGGCGCGAGGACGACAACGAGGAGAGCATCAAGAAGCGCTTCCGTACGTTGAGCTACCTTTGTAGGCTACCTGTGGACATTGACCGGCTATCAGGCGTGTACAAGGAGCAGACGATGCCCGTGATCGCGCATTACAGCAAGCAAAGCAAGGTTGCCACCGTGAGTCCATTTGATTGTGCATCTTCAATAGCTTGACAGGCTGCCTTGTAGATCGATGCGACAGCCACGATCGAGGAGGTACATGAGAAGGCCAAGGATGTAGTTGGGAAGCTGCTTGCTGGTGAGGTCACACGCAATGTCACCGTCTAGACTGCATCAAGCGAGGGTTGCATGAACAATGAGATCTAGATACCAGTGGAGAACATAGGTCCGTTTGTACAGCACAGCATCATAACTACAAAGATCGACAGGCTACAAGGATCTATACAATTGCATCTTGATTCGTCTTTCTCTGCAAATAAAGTGACATAGAGCCTATCGAGATCGTGAATGAGAATCATACATAGACAGCAAAGCCCGAGTTCTCATCCTTCGGGGCCACCGCATTGCATGTCGCCTTGCCCCCCTTCGGGATTTCGTGAATGTCGCCGTCGGCGCAGACGAGGTGTGCCTTGTCGTCGATAGCGTCCTGTGAATGTGACCTGTAAGAAGCGAGTGCAAGGGCTGTACGGCGGCACTCACTGGCTCCCACTCCCATCCCCCGCATCGGACATACTCGACGACGAGGGGGCCGTCGCCCTCTGTGGTCAGACTGCCGTCCTCGGCGTACCTGAGGAGGAGGTGCGCGCCGTCCTGGTACGCGGCGCCCAGAACCGCTTTGAGCTTCTCCGCGAACGCAGCGCGCGTCTCGTCCGAGTCGAGCTCCACCGCGGGGTCGCGCCGAGGGCGGACGATGACGACGTCGAGCGCGGCGCCGCGCGGGGGGTCCACGCGCGCGGCAGGGGCGATGCGGAACGCGGGCTCGAGGCGGTCGACGTTGACGACGCTGAGGAAGTACGCGAAGGGCCCGGGGACGTCGACGGTGGGCGTGCCGTGCGGGTGCGGCGCGAACGCGCGCGCGGCGGGGTCCCAGCGCTCGACGGCGCCGGACGCGCGCAGGGGGAGGAGCGTCGCGGCGGCAGCGTACCAGCGCGCGATGTTCTGCGCCGCGGCGGTGTGGAAGCGCGCGAGGGACGGGTCGGAGGCGCGCAGGGCCTCGGAGTCGGCGAGGATGGACGCGTGCAGCGCGGTGGACGCGACGACGGCGGAGACGGCGGTGTGTGCGGGGGCGGCGGCACGTGGGGGCGGGACGAGGGTGGTGAGGGCGAGGGCGAGCGGGCGCGCGGGGGCCGCGGGGGCGGCGAGGAGGGCGCGGAGGGAGCGGAGGCGGTACTCGGTGGGGTCGTCTGCGGGGGCGGGGGGGAAGAGGGCGGCGTAGAGGGCGTTGGCGGTGCCGCAGGGGACGAGGGCGAAGGCGAGCTGGAAGGCGGCGGCGGCGCGGACGGCGGCGGGGGGCGTGTTGGTGAGGGCCTCGATGATCTCGTGGAGGGTGCCGTCGCCGGAGCCGAGGACGACGGTGAGGGGCGCGGGGTCGGCGTCGAGCTGGGCGGCGACGAGGGCGGCGGCGTGGCCCGGGTGGGTGGTCGCGTGGACGGCGGCGGGGGCGATGGCGGCGGAGTGGAGGAGGGGGAGGACGTGTGTGGAGAAGAACTGGGCTGCGGTGCGGTCACCGCAGGCGGGATTGTAGATGACGAGCGTGGGCATAGTCGGAGCGGGCGTTGAGATGGGCGAGTGCGGCGTCGAGGCTGGCAGGTGCAGCGTCGAGGAAGGTAAGTGCGGCGTCGAGGAAGGTGAGTGCAGCGTCGAGGCCGATGGGCTCAGCGTCGGGACCGTCGAGCAAGACGATGGCCGATCGAGCTAGAGATGATCGCAAGATCAGATCAGATCACTGTCCTGGATCTGCTACCGATCTAATCTGCCTCCTCCCACATGTCCCTCTATCTCGCTCGCACCCACGTCCTCGGCCGCTCCCTCTTCTCGCACATCATGTCTACTGCCGCACCGCCCTTCAAGCCTTTCAACCTCGCGCTCATCCAGCTCGGGCAGACAGGCCCAGACAAGTCCGGTCCGCCTCTCGCGCTCCTCTCTGACAACTCGCGTTCACGCTCACGCCCACACCCCATACAGCGAACCTCGCGCACGCGCGCGACCTGATCCTTGAAGCTGCAAGCGGCGATGGAGGCGCAAAGCCCAAGCCCGATGTCATCGTGCTCCCCGTGCGTCTCTCCGCATAGCGTCCGCTCACACGATATAACCCCGCGCAGGAGTGCTTCAACTCGCCGTACGGCCACGTCCACTTTCCTGTCTACGCCGAGACCATCGCGTACACCCCCGGCCAGCCCTACGACGTGCACGCGTCCGCGAGCGAGTCCGTCAAGCTGCTCGCGGCGACGGCGCGGGAGGCCGGGGTCTGGCTCATCGGAGGTGCGTGTCTCGTCTTATCTCGCCCCCCGTTCCCAGGGTCTCACTCTCGCCGCCGGCCGCGCCCACAGGCTCGATCCCCGAGCGCGACGCGGCGGACAAGAAGCTCTACAACACGACGACGGTCTACTCGCGCACGGGGGAGCTCGTCGCGATGCACCGCAAGGTGCACCTGTTCGACATCGACATCCCGGGGAAGATCACGTTCAAGGCACGCAGGCCTGCTGCCCCCGCTCCCTGTGACACGCCGCTCATGCACACACACGCAGGAGAGCGAAACGCTAACTGGCGGGACGACCATGAACTACTTTGACACGGGTGCGTGCTGCCGTTCTCTGTGAAGCGCGGGGAAGCCGAACACGGTGGGCAGAGTTTGCGCGCATCGGTCTGGGCATATGCTACGATGTGCGGTTTCCCGAGCTGGCGATGACATACGCGCGCAAGGGTAAGCTTTGTGTACAGTGCGTCTACACTATGTGTGACTGTCTGTAGGGTGCCAGGTCCTCATATACCCCGGGGCGTTCAACCTGACCACCGGGCCGCTACACTGGGAGCTGCTCCAGCGTGCACGGTAAGGCGGTTGTGTCCGCATAAGGCGCCCGATGCCGATTTGGTGCTGTGCAGGGCGATCGACAACCAGGTGTTCTTCTCGATGTGCAGTCCTGCGCGGGACATGAGCGCGGGGTACCACGCGGTGAGTGGTCTCGGCCGTGCGCGCGCGAGCACATTCAATGACGCTCGCCTGGGCTCAGTGGGGCCATTCGATGATCGTCGATCCAATGTGAGTAGTGCGTTCGGGGGTTCTAGCCATGGCTGAGAGGATCGTCGGTTTCAGGGGCAAGGTCATTGCCGAGACGGAGCACGAGGAGGACATTGTGTACGCGCGCATCGGTATGTGTGCGAGAGGGCTCCCCGACGACGGCAGGCTGACGGCGTGTGCAGATCCGACGGTGTTTGTGGAGGCGCGTGCGGGGATTCCTGTGACGAAGCAGCGGCGGTTTGATGTGTACCCCGACGTGAGCAGGGGGCTGTAGTAGCTATTAGCACGATATTGATAACAAGTACTGTGGTCGGGATTCCTGTGACGGAGCAGCGGCGGTTTGATGTGTACCCCGACGTGAGCAGGGGGCGGTAGTAGCTATTAGTACGATATTGATACAAGTGCTGTAGTCGGGATTCCTGTGGCGGAGCAGCGGCAGTTTGATGTGTACCCCGACGTGAGCTAGCAGCTATTAGTACGATATTGATATTGTATAACAAGTACTGTAGTAGCGCCTTACGTGTGCGGGCGCCAATCTGACGAGGATTTCTGGCAGGTTCGACGAGGTTCGACGGCGTTCCTTGGCCGCTTTTATCAGCTCTTGTCTCCCAGCTCTGCTCTGCCTCTCAGCTACTACTCCGTCGCCGTCGTCTTTGCCCGCCATGGTCAAAGAAACGTGAGTCTCCTGCGTTTCCTTCCCCACCGTCTCCCCTCATCCGCCGCAGCAAGTACTACGATCTCCTCGAGGTGTCCCCAGACGCCTCAGAGTCCGAGCTCAAAAAGGCATACCGCAAAAAGTGCGTCCGCGGCCCTCACCCTGGGCGAGACCGTCTGCTGACCATCGATGCAGAGCGCTACGACTGCACCCGGACAAGGGCGGAGACCCAGAGCTGTTCAAGGAGGTCACGCATGCGTACGTCCCCCAACGTTCAGCCGCGGCCGCGGCCGCCACTCACGTTTCGCGCGCAGCTACGAGGTGCTCTCAGATCCCCAAAAGCGAAGTGTCTACGATGCGCGCGGAGAGGCGGGCCTCTCAGAGTCAGGCGGTATGGGCGGTATGGATCCCCAGGTGCGTTGCTCTGCCTGTGATTGTTCGCGCAGTCGACCCTTATACGTTTGTTCAGGACCTTTTCAGCCAGCTGTTCGGCGGTGGTGGCTTCTTTGGCGGCGGCGGCGGTCCCTCGCGCGGCGGCCCGCGCAAAACAAAGGACCTGGTCCACCGCGTCCACGTCACACTCGAGGACCTCTACAAGGGCAAGACATCCAAGCTGGCACTGACGCGCAACGTCATCTGCAGCAAGTGCGCCGGCAAGGGCGGCAAGGATGGCGCGGTGCAGTCGTGCACATCGTGCAGCGGCCAGGGTGTCAAGATCACGCTGCGCCAGATGGGCCCGATGATCCAGCAGATCCAGCAGCAGTGCGACACGTGCAACGGGACGGGCGAGATGATCAACGCAAAGGACCGCTGCAAGACGTGCAACGGCAAGAAGGTGATCTCGGAGAAGAAGATGCTCGAGGTGCACATCGACAAGGGCATGAAGGGCGGCCAGACGATCACGTTCCGCGGCGAGAGCGACCAGGCGCCCGGGGTCACCCCCGGCGACGTCGTCATTGTCGTCGAGGAGAAGCCGCATGAGCGCTTCAGGCGCCAAGGGGACGACCTTGTCATCGACCAGGAGATTGACCTCCTCACCGCGCTCGGTGGCGGTCAGCTCGCGATCAAGCACCTGGACGACCGCGTCCTTATCGTGAAAATCAACCCCGGCGAGGTCATCAAGCATGGTGCGTGCCCGCCGCTTCATCTCTTCTACGCGCATGCCCATACTGACGCTGATGCCGCGCAGACGACCTGAAAGTGGTTCCAGGGCAGGGCATGCCATCCTACCGGCACCACGAGCCGGGCGATCTGTTCGTGCACTTCACGGTCAAGTTTCCGGAGCACATCGACGCCGCGGCGATCCCGGAGCTCGAGCGCGCGCTGCCCCCGCGGCGGCCGCTGGACAAGTTCCCGAAGAGCTACGTCGTGGACGAGGTCGAGCTCGAGGAGGCGGACACGCGGCAGCGGCAGCGCGCAGAGCCGATGGACGAGGACGAGGAGCAGCCGCGCGTGCAGTGCGCGAACCAATGATCGGTGCGCGCGTGTATGCGTGTGTGTGCGTTGTCCTCTGTATGTGTGTTTGGCTCTGCGCGGGCGGGTGCGTCGGACTGCTGCTGGTCTCCTGTTGTATTGTGTGCTGCTGTGTGTGTCGTTACGTCCTCCGTCTCCGTCTCTCGCTTGTGTTTCCCCCTGCCCCACCCCGCCCGTGCTGCATGACATCCCATTGTCTCCCACCACCTAGTGTACCACGCCCTACTAGTTGCATCCACGACTAGACTTCATACTCATCATTGTGACTGTATACCGCACCTACAGGAAGTCATGACACATGGAACGCGCGTGATGTGCTGCCTTGGCATTTCAAAGAAAAACTGGAACGGCGGTCATCTTGTGTCTGTGCGCGCACCGGCGACGAGGTCGCTACTTGCTGCAGTGCTGCGATGCGTTGCATGCTGGGCGGCTGTTTCCCATTGGCGTCACCAAGACTGTGGTTCTCACGAGAGGTGTCGTGCGCGTCAAACACGAACAAATTCTCCTCGAGCGACCTTCCACCTGATAGAATACAGGTAAAGTCGCGGATGGCTTTTGACTGCTCGAAGTATTCGATATGCTACAGCGAGAAGGGACCATGGCATCAGCAAAACCTCACTTTTGTTGAAGCACGATGAAACGGCTGATTACCTGAGATCCACCCGTATTCAGGCCATTCCGGCCAGATTCACTCACCCAGTGAATGCACGGAAAGTGCATCTGATTTCGGCGCATTTAGTCATTCAGCCCTGTTCCATGAGAAGTGGGATTTTGCTGATGTGGTCTCGACATAGCTACATAGACCCAGCAACGCATCGCCACAGACAAAACAGCAGGCCAGGGTAACAGGCCGTTGCTTCCGGGGCCCGCCCAGTGCCCAGTGCCGCCACACGTCCGCTCACGCACACATCGAGTTCAGCAGGCCTAATGATATGGAATCCGCTGCAACAGCCTTCGGCGCTGCTGGACCGCCACGTCCACGGCCCCAAAGAAGTATCTTTGCATTTCGTGCAGCCCAGACCATCAAAGCACAAGACTGGGTGGCGCAGGCGAAAACCAGCCTCGACTGTCCGGCCTGTACAGTAAGGCGCAACATCACGGTATAGTGTTTTCCAAGCCGACGGAGATACAGCCATGCCAATCCCCTGTGGCGCAAGAGGAGGAACAATTGTTCCGCGTGCTCCTAATTACTGCAAATGCTTGGTGACACATCGTACGCTTGGATGTGGCGTTCTCTGTCTTGTTGTGGCGTAGGCCTGCCAGGGCCATAAATCGCGAGCGCAGAACCCTGCATGAACCAACTCGCTTTTCCACGATGATACCGACTCGGCGCGTGATCTCCCCACCGACGCCTGTCTTGGAGCAGAATCGCAAAGTGTGTACACTTTTTCCTCTTCTCAAAGAGCAACAACACCGAGCGACATTAGGCAGCTGTTCCAGGCCGGTCCCTTGCAGAGCTCAACACGGATGTATTGTTCGCCATCGTATCTACCCTCCCGCAAAAGGACGCATTGGCGCTGTCCTATACCGCAAGAGGGCTCTACCACATTGCGATGCGCAGGGCCCTCGCCTCCGTGACGCTCGAAAGCCCCAGGGACGTTCTTCGTGCTTGCCCGTACATGCTGGCCGACGTCCCTAACCGCCTGGGGTGTGTGCGCACGCTAGAGATCAAGAAAGGCCCTATCGGCAAACACATCTTTGGGCGGTACGGGCGGCCTAAGGGCCGCTCATATGAGGTTTCGCGCGTGCTCACGCTTGTGACAAACATATTACAGGGTGCTCGCACTACCTTGCGGATGCTCAAGCTTGAGGCGCTTTCCGACTACATCGAATTGCCAGGTTGCGTGGCGATCGCAGCTATGGACGGTCTCCATACGCTGGAGTTTCAGGACTTTCAGTATATGGGGTGGACCCGGCTGGGATTCTTCCGCGGGTCCAAGATGGCGGGCCGACTCCGTACCCTCGTCCTCCACAACATAGATTGGTGTCAGGTGGAGGACGTGCTGGAGGACATTGTGGCGATGGACAACTTGCAGACACTCGAGATGAAGGGCGTTTTGGACCGTTTTTCGGAGCCATGGCCGGAGAAATCGTCTTGCACACAGTCCCTACCGTCACATCCTTCCCTCAAGACCCTTCGGCTGTCTAACTGCAAGGGCGCTCATGTCTCCACCTTGGTGCGCGTTTTCCCCAACTTGAGGGAGTTCACAACTTCAATATGCAGCTTTGTCCCCGATGCGACGGACTGTTGGCCTGCTCTGGACCATTTATGCGCCCTTCATCTTAGTGAACTCGC